AAAATAACTGTTATATGCAGATTATTTAGACAAAAATCAAAAAAAAAAATTGTTATTTTGGATTTATAAAATAAAAATCAGAGGTAACTGTTATTTAAGGAGTAATTTAAAAAAATCAAAAAATAGTTGTCAAAGAGCTTTTTTTTTTTTGAATAAAAGTTGTAACTGTTACGGTCTCTGGTAAATTTGTTTGGTACATGAGATAAAATATAGAATTGTATTATCGAACCTCTAGGCGGCAGAATTTATATCCTTCATATGACTGATTAACAGGATCTACCTTTAATATAAAAATTACATCAACATGTCTATCCACATCAACTTATAGATATATTCACATTCAAATATAATGTTTCTTCTTTCGATTTATATATATTTATATACTTACTTTAATCATCTTTAACCTTTGTTTTTCAGAATACAACAAATACGATCCACTTAAAGCCGAAATTCACAGCATTCATGAGCAACAGAACACCATATTGATATTGCTGATCGTCTTGCTGGCACTCATTGCTATAAGATACATATACAAATGTGTACGTTGGTTCCGACGTAATCGCATCTTCACATCAATGCTAAAGAAGCTGCACAAGCAGCATGAAGCCGCCGGCACTGGCACAAATGGCAAGGATATGGCAGTGGGAGCGACAATATCCAATGTGATGGCCATAAATGGTGATATGGAGCGAGCGCCATCGCAGATATTTAGTGTAACGGGTAAGTGAAAGAGGAAATAGTTGCTAAAGGCAAAGAGTAAACTTAAAGTAGTACTTTTATTTTTAAAATCAAAATTAATGTTTCTTTTCTTAGGCGCTGAAGGCTCGGTAATGACAATGACAACACCAGTCAGCACACGCTATCCGGCGGAGAATAGCACTACACCAACAACAGTGGTGACAGAGTATTCGTATGATAATCAAGCGCTTGCATTGACGCCTGTTTCGGAGAAACCAAATGGTGGTGTGCACGCCTTTTGAACGCATTTGAGGATATGTTTGCCATAGCGAGAAGAGCGGAGTTGGGGAGAGGAATTTCTATCGAGAGACAGTAAAGGTGAAAAATGAGCGAATAACGTATTTGGGAGATCTGTCGTAGAGAGACGTGTTAGTTAAATGATATTATATATTGAATCATCAGTTAAAAATTATGAAAGTATTACACGTCGGCCCAGTAAAGGAAGTTTTCACGACTACTTAACCTAATTAGGCATACGCTGAAGATCATCATTATATTGGCACCGATCGTGTAAGAGATGATCAATCTTATGGAAGCAAATACTATATACCTACCTCGCTTGATTGACTATCTCAGTCGGGAGGTTCGTTGTTTTGTTCGAACTATTGGTTTGAGTAAGCGGGGAAGCAACTCTATCATTTCGATTTCGAAGTTTTATTAGTGCGGAAAAGTTGTGTTACATGATAACGTTGAATCGTGTTCAACCGTTTTCCGATCGAAGATTAAGAACACGTATTCAAAGTATAAAAGAATCTCAATTTAAGAGATATTTCGAAACTTTAAGGCTCTTGGAGCGACCGTATATATTATTCCATTCAATGTTTTCCACTTACGCAACTTTTTCGCACTACTAGAATTTCGAAATTGAAATTGTTGATTTTTTCGCTCCACCCTACGGTTCATTTTCCTACAACCCATGCAAATATCAACAAAAAAAAAAATTCTATAAAAGCAGCTAAAAGCTAGTTACTTTGGCAAAAAAAAATTTAATATCTACAAGATTCAATTTTTTATGAATCGCTTATGACTCGTATGTAAAGTACACCTGTGACGTCAATTATACACTCATGTACTTAAAATTAGTAATTTATTTAGCTGTAAATTAATGAGAAATCATTGGTAAATTGTTTGAATAAGCAACGAATACATCATTGAAGAAGATATTAGAGAGCAAATGTGAATTCTTAAAAAAAAAAAAAAATTTAAATCACCAAAAGTGCTGACAAATTGCGATTTAA